ACTGGCCTGATTATAGTATATTAATACCTCTGTCAAAAAAAAATGAGTCTTTTGGAGTCCTCTTTGATTTAAAGATAATAATGCCATGCTCTCCGTTTGGACAGAATAACAATCTTTTGCATTGCATTGAGGTTGATTAAAATTGGGGAACTTCTGCATTGATGTTTCCTTTGTTGATTGCCATAGTGAACTTCTAATGGTGTACATATGACTAAAATGTAAACATAAATGGAGTATATATGACTAAAACATAAAACTTTCATCGGACACAAATTATCTGGCTCATTGTAAATCTGTATCTACAAAGTTTTTCATTAACCATGATTCCAGTTTCTGCTTTGCTGTCATGCATATGCAAATTTCCTTTAATGTGGGAATCCATTAAAATAGTTACAAGCATTAAAGTTGTATAACAGCACACAATACACGTGTGTGTATGTTTTATTCTAATCGTAAGTACTGCCGTGAAAGGCCTCGGGACTCTCCACTGGACCCCACAATTTCCGATGTCACTTTCCAATTATTATGAAGTCTGTTTGGGGACTACACACATGAATAAGTGGAAACATTATTAAATGGCAAATTTACTAGACAAGTGAGAATTTTGTGTGCTAGGAAAAAAAAACATTAGTGGTTATACAATTTTACAGTTCCCAGTGCTTCTTGGGATAAAATAGTCTTCTCAGTGCCTTAGCACAGCGTTAGCCAGGAGGTCAATGCAGTGGTCAAAGTCTCATGTGGGTGGCTTTGCTGATGGTGAGATTCATGCACACACATCATATCAAAGGGGCAGTGGGGGACATGATCAGTGTCTTTAAGGCTATGATTTGAAATTCATATGCTACTTTACATTTCATTTTGTGAACAGTTAAGTCCTAAGAGATTTGCATAGTATTTCTGCTAGTGTAGTGGCATCATGAGCAGAAAATCCCAGGCACTATGCCAGCTCTGCTCACCAAGATTCTTTGGGGCTGGGGTTCAGACACCTGCACTTTAAGTACCCTCGATTATCCTTTTTCTTAAAATTCACAGCCAAATTTACTGGGCACAATGAGAAAATGACTTCTGTGACCAGTCTGCTACTTGCCAGTGGTGTCACCGTGGATAAGCTACTTCCTTTCACTGGGTCTTGGTTTCATTCTAATAAAGAGAGAATTAATGCAAACCAAGGTCCTCCCTGGCCTTAAAATATGACTCTGATGCTTGCACGTCTTTAAGTAGCTGTCACTAATTGGCCACTAGAGGAAAAAGCACCTGCCTGAGTTTGCCAGCTGGGTGGAAGGAATCCCAATTTAGTCTGAATGCATCTGAGCTTTCCTTGTAGTGAAGCTATTTTCTAATGCCTTTATGGAACTCAGTGACTTCTCCAGCAGAAATGGACTCCTTCCTCTGGCTTCCTCTAGGCAGCAAGCATTGTGCAAAGGGACTCACTTGATGCCCCTCTACTTCACATTAGAAATTAATCATAAGTTAATCGTGGACTCTGGAACTCACATATTTTGGAGTACTTTGGACTGACTCTCGAGTAGTCTTGTTTTTTTTTTTTTTTGGCCTAGTGAAGATATTTTAATGATTATGAAGTGAAAGATTAGGTCTACAGAGTAGTTTTCATAGAAAAAAATTACATATAGAATGGAAAATAAACTTTAGCCAGGATGTGTGAGTCCTGGAGATTTATTGTACAGCACGATGACCATAAATAACAATGCACTCTGTGCTCAAAAACTGCCAACCGAGTAGGTTTTAATGTTATCACCACTAAAAGGGGAAAATGTGAGCAGGTGGACATGTTAATTAGCTATATTAATTAGATATATTTCACATATATCAAATTACCACACTGTACACCACAAATGTATACAGATTTTCTTTGTCAGTTAAAGCTTTAAATACATGCTTCTCTGAGAAATGAATCTCTGAAGTTTCCGAGAAGAGAAAATATTACGGAAGGAGTAGTATATCATCTGTTTATTTTCCACTTTGGCTGTATGAGTAAAAGGCAGCAACAGTAAGCTTGAACTGCATCCTTTATTTTTCCTTGGATCAGTCTTAGGAAGCATGTGGCGTCCAGAGAAAGGAAGTGAACAAGCATCCTTCGTGGAATTGATTAAAACCAGTGTATTGTTTGGATGCCTATGTTTTATACTTCCCAGAAGAAATAAATTAAGGAATATCTAATAAAGAAGAAACAGACTTGGTCCTCTCTGAGGTTACTTTGTTTTTATCTGAATACAACATTAACTGGAACCTGTGTTTTTCTTCACTTTCCCTGCAGGCAGAGAGGGTGGTGTCAGAGAGGATTTCCACACTTCCTTGTGGGTGACTGGAGTTTGGATTTAGAAAGGAAGAGCCAGAAATGCATGTTCCTCTGTGTCTTTGAGTCCCCACACCTTTGTCTTTCTTTTCTAAGCTTCATTGCCCTCACCTCCCAGAAGCTACAAGAAAAGGCACAGATCTGCTGGCCCCTTCCCTCAGCCCCAGCCCTCTGTGTCCTGGGGAGAACACATGGTAGTGCTTCCCCAAGCATCTCCATGCAGCAGCATCTCCAGTAGCTGAAAACTTTTCTGGAGCTGCTGCCCTGCTTGCTATAGGTAACCACTGGCCTAGGAGACTTCCAAGCTGAGCACTCAAATGCTGCACTCCTCACGGCTGCCAGCCCCAAATCCTTTGCACTGGAAGAGCTCCATTTCTAGCAAATCTAATTTCATAATGAAGAAGGAGGAAGCAGAACCTTCCCCAAATTTTCAATTCCCAGGAAAGTCTTTGGGAAAGCTAATGAGGCAGGAGGGGCTCTCAAAGTTGCTCTTGAAAAAAAGCAAATCGAAATGTTCAGTGCAAGAGCAGTGTGAGATTAAAAATCGAGGTTTTAAGAGTGTTAAGTGTCTCCAAGGACAAGGCACTTGAGGCTGGGTGAAAGGAAAGACAACCCAACAGTGCCTGCTGGAGGGAGATGGTCAGCACCGCGGACAGCGCCCCAGCAGGCCACAGAAGGGGTGGCAAATCCTAAATCATATTTCCCCCCTTCCTTTTGGAGCGCTGGGATGGAAATCAGGGTCTCTCACATGCAAGATGAGGGCTGTGCCACTAATTAGTATCGCAAAACTATCTTTTTTATGCAGCAGGTGTCAGAAGTAGAAGCCAGTACAGTGAGTCAGTACAAGCTGGAAACGAGACTAAGTGTGGTCTAGCTGCAGACTTTACACTCTGGCCAAATAAAGAAAGGACAGGATGGGAAGTGTGACATTTATCCCCTTGTGATGAAGACAGATGCAATCCAGGTGCCATATTGTTATTTTTAACTGCACATCCCTGAATGTTACAAGATGGAGCCTCTTGCAGAAGACCTCCCTGCTTTGATTTCTGTGTGCCCATCAAGCTGAACCCACCAGGGTAGACTCTTAATCTCCTTGAGTGTCACTTTCCTCATTTGTTAGAAGAGGAAGATGCCCACCTCCCAAGAATGTCACAGCGATCAAATTATATCCTGTGTACAGTAGTGTCTAACAACGTCAAGCACATGTTATTCAGATGCAGGACAAGTGGGCTCCTGCAGCAATGGGCCATCATCATTCTGGTGTTTTGGGGCCAGCAACACCATACCGACTGCCTCTCTTTCCAAAGAGATGGGAGTTGTGAAGAAATCTTGCGTAAAGCCTCTCTGGCTTCTACTTGAGAAAAGTGTTCTTTTCTCTCTCTCTTTTTTTTAAAGTTCCTTTTAAAGAGTTTTAAAGAGTATGTCAGTTGACAAAAGTAGAATGGAAGCCTTTCAGTGCAGGTGGCGTATGCTGTATGTACTGTGATGTGTATGGAATATATTATATGTAGTACACATATATGAGCTTCTTGTTTGTAACATATATACATGAAATTTGCATCAACTTGAAGCTAAAACTTCATTTAATAAAAGGGAACTTTGGAGACTGAAATTTACACATCCCATTTGAAAAGTGTTACAGATCTCTCCTTTCCTCCTTCACCTCTGTTTCTGCCATTGATACATCATTTTGCATTTTACGTTCCCTCCTGGAGCTGCAGCCTTACCCTCACTTCACTGTGCTGCTAAAGATGCTGCTTTCAGCTGAGGATGCTTTATGTAGGTTTTGCACAATGACTGAAATAAACAAAGTAAATCCTACAAACAAGACGTTCTCCATGCTCCTTTACTCGGGGACCAACACGGGGACACACGGCTTCACTTTGCTCCCCAGTCTCAGGGTTGCCATGGACAATGAGGCCTGTGTAGCCTCTTTGTGTTTCCAGGCTGCAGCCATGGGATCACTTTTCACAATCAAAGAGTCTGGCAATGTACTCAAGCTGCTGTGCCCTCTGCGCGCTGCCTCCGGAGGGAGCTAAGGTGAGAGGTAGAATGGGCAAAGCAACTTTTGCAAAATGCAGTAGGACAGGACAGGCTCTTCGTGATGCAGGGGTGACAGGAAAGCTCCCTGATCCTTGAGCAAGATTTCCTTCTCTGTAAAGGACCAGAGAGCCAGAGTCTCCAGAATCTTCCCTGAGATGGATAGTTTGATAGGAGAGGAGGAGAAAGTTCACCAACACCTATAGTGTATTTCCTGGGTTTAATTCTGCAAGCATTTGTTTGAGCCCTTTGTGCTCACCATAGATCCATGAAAGTGACCACT